TTTTGTCCAAAAAACAGCATGAGTTCAAAAACCCTTCATTTTACTCCAACTATTGCATGGAACAAATTACCTACCGAATTAAAAGAATCGCATAATTTTAATGTATTCAAAACAAAATTGAAGAATTCGTTTCTAAATTATGACATTGCATTCCTCTCTACTCTATTATAATTGCAGATTGTACAACGTTTGATATCAAAATTTACTCGCTAGCTTTGGCATAATTACAATTACTACATTTTTTATAAGTATGCACATACGAATATGACAAACATTGTTCTAATTTTATTACGAGTTATGTTACCGTCAAGCGTAACAAGATTTTGTTTTTAAATCAAGCTTGATGTGAATAAATAAATAAATAAATAAATATAAATTTGATATATCAAATTATTCAAAAATTTGTTAAGATTGACACTTCTGGCGTGTTTTCGACGTTTGTGTCTTATTTGTGTCAAATTTAACAGTTGATAACCCTTCTGGGACCTTTATATGACCTCTGAGGTCAAAATGGAGGTCACCATTGAATTCGGGGTTAAATTTCAGGTCAAATTGACATAGATATGTCCTATGACCTTTACATGACCTCTGAGGTCAAAATGGAGGTCACCATTGAATTCGACGTTGAAAAATAGTTAAAAATGACGTGTCACATGCCAAAACTGACACGAGACACTTTTTCGACACTTTTCGTCACTGTGACGACGTCATCGTCACAGGTGACGTCCAAACGCAAAATGACATGAATTTTCGAATTCCTCATTGAAAAATAGTTAAAAATGATATGTCACATGCCAAAACTGACACGAGACACTTTTTCGTCACTTTTCGTCACTATGACGACGTCATCGTCACAGGTGACGATGTCACAGTGTTCATCTTCGAACTCGTCCTGTCCCTTCACGTTAGGAGTTTACGTTCAAAATTTCAAGTCTCTATGTCATTCCGTTCAAAAGTTATCGGAGCAACGGACAGACAGACAGACGGACGGACGGACGGACGGACGGACATAACGATCTTATAAAGGGCTTTCACCCCTTAATAATTTTTGAACGCTATGAATTTCTAAAACGATCATCAATAAGTATTAAACTTGGTTGGGCTTGGGTTAGGATTATCTTCCAGGTGCGAATAAATAAGTACTTATCAAGAAATTTAAGAACAAAGATTGTTGTTGGATGACGAGTTTCTTCGTCATAGTAAAATTGGAATTAATCCCATTTATCGTCAGGTAAAAAACTGCTATGGGATAAAATTACAAGAACGTTTTTCATGAAATCTCATATCTTTGCATGAAACGAAATCAGGGAACGATCCGGTTTTCCTTTTAAAAATAAGTACCAGATGAGTCAGTCATCTTGTGATCTGCATCTAAGATAACTAATAAAATTCTAGAAAAGTTGTGTACTAAAGTTTTCATGAAATCTCATCACGGTCCATGAAATGAAATCTGAGTCGTTTTTTATGTTCTTTAGCACAAATGCAGACAAAACAAAAGTGTGAATTGGTTTTGATCGGATAAAGGATGAAATTGGAATTTGTGGCGATTTTGATACATTTTATTTCCTACAAAATGAAATAATTGGGCATGTCGCGGCAGGGGTACTTGTTCCTTAAATGTATATTTTTACAAGTAAAAATATCCGTCTTACTTTACCCTCACGGGTATTTTACACCTCAAAAAGCGTACATGACCCCTGGAAATGATGAAAACCTTTATATTTATTAGTTGTTCATAAGTTTTTATATACTGACAGGATTCCTGATATTTATATCGTAATAATTATAAAATTGCGAAATCAGCTCAAATTATTCCACTCTTTATGCTACATATTTTGGATGATGCTGTTTTGCTGGATTTTGCACGACGGGTAAAGCTTACATGAGGCTTGGTAAAGTCGTTGGGGTCAATTTTGCTTATTTGTCGGTGGTGAGATTACGAGTGTATGTAAGCAAGTCTTTTTTATTCCATTTGGGATTAGCAGGTACGTACTTTCCTGTAATGGATGAAAAATCGCGAAATTGCTGGGTGCCAATATATGTACTAATATTTTAGAAAATGTCATCATGCACGTAGCCGGACTTTGATAAGGTTATTATTCGCAGCAAAATGATGATAAGTGAAGTGAAATCCACTAAAGTCCAGATCCGATCCAGATTTATTGTGGGGAGAATGTGTGCATTATAATGTAGTGATCTCACTGGGTTATAAATAACCGTTTAGAGTTTTATGATGGTTGATTGGTACTCATGTCAAGATTTTATTTTATTTCGCATAATTAATTATGGCTTCGTAATCTTTACAAGTTTATGAATAGTATTATTACTCGGTTACAAATTTTAGAGTGAATCGAATAAAAATTTAGGGAAATTTCAAAAAAAGTATCTCCTTAGTATTACCAGAAGATATGTATCTTAAACCTAAGTTTCGAAATAAAATAAACCCTTTTTATTGTAAACGACGTTAAAATGGTTGAAAATTATGATTATGAAATACACATTTGAAAACCCATGTCAACACGATACAAATTTCAGTATGAGACAGATAAATTCAAAATTGACTGAAACGTGTTAATATTAGTAATATTTATAATATGAAATATTAATCCTCCAAGGTTAGAACTGTGATGCTCTCACACTTTGTGATTTAGACGACATTTTCGCACCCTATGAGTTCTTGGTCACTTGTGAATTCTGTAATTAATGTGAAATATCTAACTTGAAATATTTAACCCTTTAAACTGTAGCGACGACAATAGTCGTTTTATAAGAAATGGTTTAATTCGGGAGTACGACAAAAGTCGTCCTGAAAAATCGTGGTCATGGCGCGGAAGGACGACAATTGTCGTTTCTAGGAGGTCATTGATTTTCACCATTTTCTCTCCGCGACCTAAAATTTGTTGCAATTTTGAGAGATTTCTCCTATGCCAACACAATGCTAAATTTGAAGATTTTCTTCCCAAAAATTTTGATATTTCCCTATACAAGTCAATGTTAAATTTTTGATTTTCCAGTTTCTCGAGTTTTATTAAAAACTCCTGAATTTCTCCTCCCGCGCCATGACCACAGCATACTTATAGTGTCCCCGATTTAATGCATTTTCTTGTCGTCAATCATACACGTTAAAGGGTTAAGTCATACCAAAATATAACATAACTAATCTTAAATTCACTCCACAAGTAAATTGAACAAAGACCTTTCCAAAATCTGTGAACCAACTACGTAGCGTTAAATTACTTAAAATTTCTCATAATCGGCGTCAAACTCCTCTAAAAAATTTAAAAAAAAATATTTTATTGGTTATAGTTCAATCGGTATCAGATATATAAGATTTATTTATTTTTTGTAGTTCTGAAAAATTTTAAGATTTTGTTCATAATGATTTTCATTTTGAAAACAAATTTAATTATCAGTATATCATTAAAAATTATCTCTAATTTCTCAAACTTTAAGTTTAAAAGCATAAAATGACATCGTGACGTGATTTTCCAAACCCTGGTTGAGATCCTCACAAAAATATATGTATAAAAAAATAATATCAATCCATCCATACGACTTGTACATATGTTCATACATACGTACGTAATAACACTCATCAAAATGGCAAGATTAAGTAATTAATTGTCACGTAACGTGTAAAGTAAAATACATGGATTCTGGATTAGTTGATTTGATTATGGTCAGAGATACTGCGATCAATTTGTGCTCAAGTGCGGCATTTAAGTACTTTTTACCATAATAAATTAGATAACAGAGTCGAGAACTAAAAGTAAAGGAAGGCGTGTCATGTTAACCGATTATATAACACGATACACAAAATGATCTCATTTTCCTCGTCAGTAAAATAAAATAAGCTGACGAGGAATAAAATTGTAAGAAAGTTTTCATGAAGTTGCATGAAATGAAATCAGGGAACGATGATCTGATTTTCGTTATATATTTTGGAAAAAATGTTGTCAAATTTTGAAAAAAAAATTTGAAAGCTGAATTTGTAAAATGCTCAAATTTTACTGAAATAAAAATAATCAGATTTTGTACATAAGGGTTCATTTCGAATTCGAAAACTTCATTTTCGAAACAAATTTCCAAAACAAAGTACGGTTGTGATAGACGACCTACCTTGATTAAAATTAGAATGACGAAAAATTTAAATATTTTCATTTCGGCGTGAAACTTGGTAAATTAAAAAATAATAATTCTTTAACGCTATGAATGTCAAAAGCGATCATCATCATCGCAATTATGCAAAAAATCTCAGGCTTCGTTGGGTTTGTATTAGGATTATCGGGTGGGTGGGAATAAGCACTTATCGAAAAATTTAAGAACGAAGAACAATGCAGGAATTTTTTCTATGACGAGTTTCTTTGTCATAAGATTGGAATTTATCTCAGATTCGTCGTCAGCTTAAAAAAATGATGAGAAATAAAATTGTAAGAAAGTTTTTCATGGAATCTCATATCTTCACATGAAATAAAATCGTTAAATAAAGTCGAACGATCTTATTTTCTTTTTAAAAATAATTGCATAATGAATCATCTGGTAATAAAATTCTAGAAAAAATTGTGTACTAAAGTTTTCATGAAATCCCATATGTTTACATGAAATACAATCTGAGTCGTTCTTGTTATGTGAGTATATTCTTGGCACAAATCCAGACAAAAGGTTTTCGAGACGGAGGAAACGTGGGATTTCATGAAAGTTGAGTGAGGCATTATTGAGTATTTTCTTGAATGATACGATTTTTTACAGAATTTTGACATTTTTGTGTAAACCACTTTTTAAAAATTCATTTTATTGGAACAATTATTAAAATATATGTAAACCAAAATTTTGAGGAGTTTTATGCTGACTTAAAATTTTAAATTATTTTACTATATTTCTAAGAATTCTACCCTTTTGATACTATAAATTGCTTAAAAAACTTGTAGAACACAAATAATTAATCGTCATCCCTGAAAATGAAAATAGATAGAGAAAAACTCTGGGAAGTGAATCCTTGGATTTAATTTCCTGATTTTACACCAAGTCCAGAATATTACGAAAATGCAGTAAAATGACCAACCCTCGAGTGCTTTATTATTGGACTGACAAGTTGACCACGTCCGTGCCAGTGTCAACTCTCTCTCTCTCTCCTATCATTCCTCTGATTAGTCAATCAATCAATCAATTATTAAATCACAGCAGATGACACTTTACACGGGGAAATTTCCAAATTGAAAAAATATCACTTGTTATAAATTCTTCAACAAGGCTTTCCCACTTTGATCATCGCAATGCCATCATGTCAACAAGAAAATTAAATATTAGGATGACCTCCGTCCCCACCTGTACGTGCCAGTATTTTCCCATGATGCATCATGCATGTATGCAATCCTTTATTTATTTCTTCTTCTTCTTGGAAATATCTTGCCCGGAAATGGTGAAATTTCATGAATCCGCGTGACTAAAATAGAAATCATTTTCGTAATTTTGATTTCGCCTCATGAGCATCTTTTTTTACGACCCTGTGCAGATTTTTGAGGTAGGAAAAGGCCAAGTTGAAGTGGATACGTGATGTCGAAACAACAGAGAGAACATTACGATCCGTGCAGAAAGGATGGGGCTGATTTGGATTAAACTTGACGGATGACAAAAGTGACGATATCCTTCCCGCAGGGCGTTCTATTTACTGACTCGGCACGTCAAGTTGACCAGGACATTGCAAGATGAGGGAATGGAAAAGTCACCTTTTGCCCTGTGGAAATAATAATTGGGTATTATATTTATCAGCATTATAAACCACCAACTAAAACTACTTGAACCATGAATAATATTATGCATGGGAAAGGATGGATCCATTCGACTTAAACGAGATTCCGATACTCGTCATGATACAGATCAACTTTTCATGAGGCTTTACTTAACTGGTTATAAAACGAAGGAGACAAGTGGCCACTTTTACCAGAAGCTTACGAGACCTTTCACGCTAAACATTACCACAAACACGACAATTAAAAGAAGTTAAGTAAATAAATAGCACAATTAATAAATCGATAACCTGCACCTGAACTATTTTACCTTATCGATAACTCACTTATTTGTGCCGTGAAAAAAAATTCATACTGCAATAATCGTGCCATGGCCACGTTGACACCAGCCGCTCGTGAAATCCCTTCTTTTCCTGCCCCCTCCTACGGGACGAAGGGGTACCTCCCACCCGCCTCGATTTCCTCCCTGGATGAATTAATCGCCCATCTTCGCGACATTTTTGCCTCCCCTGAAGTCGACATTGACCTCGTCCAAGCCGTTCTCCGCTCGTACAAGAGTAATCCTGCAGACTGGAAAAAATTCGCGAAATTTGACGAATATCGCTACACCCGGAACTTGGTGGACGAAGGGAATGGAAAGTATAACTTGATGCTGCTCTGTTGGGGAGAGGGGCACGGGTCGCCCATCCATGACCATGCGGATGCTCACTGCTTCATGAAAATTCTGCAAGGAGGACTGTCCGAGGTGCGATTTGAGTGGCCTGAAAAACCAGAAGGACAAGTGGATGAGGATGAGGTAATTTTTTGAATTTTGAACAATTTTTTTGAGAAGTTGGTTTGAATTTTTTGAAGTAATTTTTTGAGATCCTTGTTTGAATTTTGAAGCAATTTTTTGAGATCCTTGTTTGAATTTTGAAGCAATTTTTTGCGATCCTGGTTTGAATTTTGAAGTAATTTTTTGAGATCCTGCTTGATTGAATCTTGAACAAATTTTTTGAAAACCTGGTTGGAATTTTGAAGTAATTTATTAAGATCCTGGTTTGAATTTTTGAATTTCTGTTTTTAAAGAATCACTCAATGAAGGAAACGTCCCGATGCGACCTCTCCTTGAATGGCGTGTGTTACATGAGTGACGCCTTGGGACTGCATCGTGTCGAAAATCCGAGCCACACCCAGCCCGCGGTGAGCCTTCACCTCTACTCGCCCCCATTCTCCGCGTGCTCCATGTTTGACCAGAGGACGGGTCACGAGACCAAGTGTAAGGTCACGTTCTGGTCAAAATACGGGGAGAAAGTTAATAATACATCGTCACCACCGCCGCAACCGTCGAATGGAGTCGTTTCCTTATCAGCGGACTAATTATTGGGCAATTATTGGGCAATTGATGTCACGCCATAAGACGAAAAAGAAAGTAGCAATCTCTTAAAAATGTAGCGACGCAGTTAACTTAAAGGAGAAGGAAGATGATGACCCAAGCGATAACCTGAATAATATTTAATTTATATATATACACTTATCTTGCAGCTAATTCATACGTCCATTAACTAACTAACTAATCAACTAACTAATAAATAAATAGTTTATGTATATTACTTACGTACACGCTCCCTCCACAAAAATATTTGCATAATGTATGTCGTCATTCAAATAATTGTGATGATGACGATGATGAAAGCTTTAATTAAATGAAAATCAATGAATAATGAATGGATTTGATTGTTTTGTTTTGCTGGCAAGATAAGAACATGACAAATAAAGTGTATGCATTTTACTATTAAAACTAACACGAACTGGATGATAATAAATACAAATACCTGTTTTAGTGGAAATTATATTTGTTGTGGGTTGCTTATTGATTGATTGTGTAAATAGTCATTCATTCATTGATTGTGGAAGCTTTCTCATAAAGTTTTCTGTAAAAGATAAGAATGGTAAATATTTTTGTAATGCGTCATAAATTTTTACGTTAGATTACTTACGCACTTTGCATGGAATGGACCTTGTGACATTGACTGAACAATGAGAACAGGAAAGTCGTTGTTCAGTTAAATAGTAACATTAATGCTGCGCTGATGAATGAGAGGAAGATGTTTTTGATACATTTCCAGATTTTGTGTAAGTAAGACGTGAAATTTTTTGAGTTTTGTCCTGCTTCGATTTTTGATAAACACAAAATCCTAAAAATTTGTGCATATTTTCATCTCGACTTTTTTCATGAATGTTTTACCCAATTAAACTAAAATTACGATAAAATAATCTAACTTATATCTCCAATTTTAGTATTTTCAAGCTGTTTTGTAAAAAAAAAATGGAAACTTGTTCAGAATCAGAACGAGAAAATTTAGAGGGAATCAGTTAAAAATGAACACATTTAATCCAAACATTTCAGGATCCAGTAGAGTTATGTATTATCAAAAGTTTTAAATATTTCTTTCTGCAACTAATTAAAGTATTTAACAATAAACTGACTAATTGATAAGCGGTTATCATAATTCCTACATCAACTTACAAGAAATCAGAAAATATTTAACTAGATTTTGCTCCCTCGTTTGACGCCGAACCCTCAGAAATCTCGATCGGAGCGAACCTCCTCTTCAAATACATGAAATCATATGAGGGAACTTTTGTGCAATATTTTTCCCGAGCCGCCTCCCTCGTCCAAACGACGTGTTGGAGAAGTTCGGGGAATTTTGCCTTCCAGTTGCCAGGTCCGAGGCGAAATGTGGGCTCCTCGCCCTCCGCCGCTAACCTGCGTGGATCCCCAACTCCAGGTTCGATAGGGTCGTGCAACATGGGAATTGGGGGGACGTCTTCGGGACGAATGCCACGCTCTCGAGATATAATTTCCTACAAATAAAACGGTTGGAAAATTAAATTTGGAACAGAAAACTAGTTTAAAATTGAAAAATCTGTTCAAAATTTGGTGTTAAATGGTACAATTTGTAATTGAAATTAATTAACTGAAGTTGCACGACTCTCATGGAAAATTTTGCAACTTGAAAATAGACGGCTTATAAAAAATTGGTTTGAAACTACTTTGCACAAAAAAATAATTTACAAAACGGTAAAATTAGTAATTACTGACCCTCCACAAGGGCGGAAGTGGGGCTGTTCTTGGCAGGGCATTAACCGGCAAAGGATTTGCCTTGTATTGTTCCCACTTTTTGAGAAACGCAGCCTCATCTTCTTTCAAGATTAGCTGGTAGCTTGGCGATTCTGCAATGTCGCCAATGTCAACGGGTCCCTCTCTTGGCACCCCGCGGTGGACTTGCTGGACAAATATATTCCCTTGACAGTTTTCCTGAATTGGATAAGATGACAATAATTAGTTAATGATATTGATAACACTATATTAACTGTGTATACAAACCGGGTACTCTAGAAAGTGGGGGTGGACGCTGAGGATTTTGTAAAAACAGGGCTCCTTTGGATATTTCTCGGCGATGAGAGGATTCACGACGTAGCGACCACGCCCAAAGTTTTTGAGGTTGAGCACGATTTCCCAGAGGGGGCGGCCAAATTCGGCGTTTCGAAACCCAAAATATTGCATGACCGGCATCGTCGTAGATTGAATTGGTGAAATCTTCTTATCGATTTACAAAACCTAACAGCAGATTAACTAAAATACTGGAAACTGTAGATGTTCAGATAACTATGAAGATTTAATTACTAATTATTTATAATTAGTGGATAGTTAACAATTTATTTCGACACGAGTCGAAAAATAAATTTGCACACAAAATTAAACTGCAATTTAGCATCGTGTGGCGCTTGAGATTTGCACGTGAGACTGATTTTCGATGGCTCGCTGCCTCAAAAAATACTATTTTCTCATCTGGCAAGTTGAGAAAAACTGAGTTTTTGGAAAACCTCAAAATTTCCGAGGATTCAATTTGATTCGAAATCTGGGAACGTATAATTAGGAAATAAATGATGGCTTTGCAACCTAGTGTCAATCCTTATCTGCGGAAACTTGCGGTATTTAAGTTTAAATTAATTGTCAATTTTACACTTCAAATTCTGTTCTGCCTGTGCAATTTATTTGTTTTAATTATAATTAATGCTAATTGTGTCAGTTATCTTGTGTACATTATGAATTTATAAACATTCCTTTCTTAATTAACAGGCCAACAATGTCCGCACCTTTGCTGCAGCGGCGGCCGCCGCCAAGAGTCCATCGCCATCATCCGGCTCCCCTCAAAATTCCTACCACATCCCTCGCGAACCTCTGAAGGTCAGCAAGGTCAATAACATTACGGTCGCATCGGTCGAGACGAACAAACCCTTGGCCAAGTTGGCCGTTTACATTCGGTAAATTAATAATCGAACATGTGAAATGCATCGGAAACTTAAAATTTATTAAATGTTTATTTAATTGTCCAGTGCTGGCTCACGTTTCGAAACGGACGAGACTCAAGGGGTGACGCAAATGTTGCGAATCTGTACCGGTCTAGGGACCCAGCACTCTTCCCAATTTAACGCCATCCGCACCCTAGAAGCCAACGGGGCGAACCTAACTTGCACCACGGGACGGGAGTACGTCGCCTACACCGTGGAAGCCAGCCGGACAAAGATGTAATTACTAATTATTATTAATTATAAGAAATGAGGGTCAAGTTAATTTTTTGTCAATCAGTAAGGTTTGTAAACTTTGTAACTGAATGCAAGTTTACAAAGTTTGTCCTGAATTCTCCCAATTTTAAATGTTTCTGACTGGTTTTTACAATATTTTGGCATTTCGGTACCTTTTTGTTATTTATTTTTTTCATTTTTGTGATGATATTTTACAACTTTTCACAATTGAAAAATTCTAACATACTTTCTAACAATTATAAATTGTATTATTGTTATTATTGTTACGTAGTTTAAGAGAAATTACACATTACTCTAATTAACTTTGTTCTGTGGGGCAGGGACGACATTCAAAAGTTCGTGAAGGAGTACGGCTTCTACCAAGTGTTTAAACCTTGGGAAGTTAGCGACAACATCCCCCGATTGCGACTCGAGAGGAAAATCCGTCCCCCAGAGGCCCGAATTATGGAACTCATCCACAAATCGGCCTACCGTAAAGGGCTCGGATATTCATTGTACAGTCCGAAGTGGATGATTGGAAATCATTCTAGTGAAATGGTATAAAAGGAAAATTGTCATTTTTATTTTAAAAAAAATTTCAATTCGATTTTGTATTTTGCAGTTGAACAACTTTGTCAAGTCAAATTACCTCGAAGCCAGCATTGTCGCAACCGGGATGAATCATGAGGAACTCAAACTTTACGCTGGGGCGTTAAAAATGTCCGAAAAACCGAGAAATGTTCCTGCCACGAAGTTCTATGGGGGATCGGAACTCCGCAAAGAGACCAGGTCAGGATTGGCCTATGTGGCGTTGGCGATTGAGGGCGCGTCGTAAGTGAAGAATAAACAAAATTGTGGATGAAATGCGTCAAAATTATGTGCAAATTTTAGCAAATAGATTAGCAAAAAAATTTTACATTTTCTTTGCAAAATTCATGTATGAGAATTGTGTGCAAAAATTGTGTCTAAAATTTGTATTTTCTTCTATATCTGTAGATTCACTAACCAGAAGAATTTTATCACCGCCGCCCTCGTTCACCGCGCCCTGGGATCCGGTCCAAGGACGAAACGTGGCTTGAATTCTGGAGGGAAACTTAGCGCCGCTACGAGTGGGGATGGCGTCTCTTTGAAAGCAAGTTCGAGCGCGTTCAGCTCAAACTATTCAGATTCAGGCATTTTAGGAGTTTTTATTACTGCCACGCCGTGCACAGTCGAAGCGGTATGAAGCCAAGCTTACCACAAAACTAAATATTTCACGCTCCTCATTTATTTCAGGTCACTAAAAAATCTGCCGAAATTTTACTCTCGGGCGGCTTCTCAGACGCTGACCTAGCTCGAGCCAAGGCTCAGTTGAAGACAGACATTGCCTGCGCGACGGACAGCGATGGCGGATTTTTGGAGGAAATCGGACTTCAAACCCTGCTTACCGGAGCGGTCACTTCACCCACAGAGATTGAAGGGCTTATCGACTCTGTGACTGCCAGTGATATGAATACGGTCAGTTTTGCGCATACAAGTTAACTGTATAATTACTTATTAAAATAATTATGTAATTCATTTATTTGCAGCTCGTCACTAAAGGAAAATTGAGTATGGCATCGTTCGGAAAAATTGCAAATGTTCCGCACATTGACAACTTGAAGAAATAATTACTTGTTTAATTGCAATTTTAAAACAGTTGAGTATTCTATCTAATCAATTTCACTAAAATTGGAAAATGTTGTAGTAAATGAAACCGTTCTATTAGACAGATTGCTATCAAAATTTAAATTAAAGTGGTGTGGTGACGATGTATGTAAATTAATTATGTAAAGTCAATTAATTATACGAATGAAAAGAAAGTAAAAACTACCGGGGAAAAAACTTATGTGAAAATTAACATCGTTTATTTATTTTTATATATTTAGAAATCAGCAAATATTATAAAATTGTTAAGCTTTAAACATAATATTTTTCACTCATCGTCGTCATCTTCTTCGTCACCTTCGCTCATTTCTTCTTCGACACTGTCTTCTTCTGCGGCTGCGTCCTCCTCCTCGTCCATTTCGTCTTCATCAATCTCCTGTTCTTCCTCCATGTCGTCGTCGTCATCTTCCTCATCTTCTGCTGAATTTTCTACTTTTTCGACCTTTTTGACATCTTCCTTCTTGACGGGGGTCTTTCCCTTCGCAACATTCTGGTTCCTCCCTTTCCTCGGCTTATCCCCCAAGGCGGCGATAAGCTCTTTATCCTCCGCGCTGACCCTTTTCCTCTCGAGCACTTCAATCTCTCCGGTAGCGTGAATCTTAATGTGAGATCCCGGTTGGGTGGACAACTCGCCCTCCGTCGGCTCTGGAATTGATCCTCCCTTCGTAACGGGTGGTTTCTTTACGTCGTTGGCGGATCCTGTGGAAGAAATGATCAAAATTAAGTTACTAGTTGGTTAATTAGGATAACTCCTGAGTGAATTATATGGAGAGACGCCGAACCTGTTGAAAAGTAGACGACAAGCGGCGGCATGCCTCCTTCTCCGGTGTGAAGGGACAATTTCTGAATATTTTTCCATCCTCCGGGAAACTTCTTTTTCAACCAGTATGCAATTTTGGATACGTTTTCAGCGAGCTCGTCCGCCTTGAGGTTGTCGTTCCCGACCTGGAAATGCAGTAAAAAATTGCTTTTTTGTAAATCAGAAAGAGAACAAAACCGCTCAAGCAATAGTAAAGTTTGCAGAGAAAGTTTAACAAAATGCTTAAGTTTTAATAACTATTGACTCACCACCATCGTTGACGTCTGACCCTTCAAACTAATATGAAGGACACTCTTCTGCAAGGCGAATAAGATCTGTTCACCCAAATCCTTATCTTTAAACTGTCTCCCGGGGATGCCCAAATGGAACTTTTTCTTCTTCTGGAACTCTCTCCCGAGCAAGCGGGGCATCATTTTGAACAATTTGTGCTCTACGATAACCACATCGACCGTCTTGGCAAGGGCACGTTTCGCCTCGAACGTCGAGTAGTCGTCCTTCAACTGTTTCAACGTCATGATTTGTCGAACCTTGAGTTTGTCCCGGGTGGCGGAGGAACTCATCAATTCGTCCTTGACCTGACCGATGACATGTTCCGCTTCGACGCCAGTCACGTCGCGGACAATCAGAAGGATGTCGAGGGACTCGGTGGCCAAGGGATAAGGGGAGTGGGGGAGAACAATGTTATAATATTGATGAGCGCCCGTAGGGGTCTTGAATGCCGTGATGTCGAGGAGAAAACGGGCCGAGGCGTCGAGAAATAGGGCGTCTGACTTTTTCTTGGAGACGTATTTTAACAAAGCTTTGACAGCAGTTTTTGTCTGTAATTACAAATTAATTAAAATTATTTATTTAAAACGTGGTAAATAAATTTCGATGAAAAAATGGACTTTGTTTTTTACGTACCTGCAACTTATCGAACGACTTGGGCCCCTTGTCCAACGTTTCCGTTTCCGCTGTCATTTTGAAAGTTTGAAGCTTAGGGAATTTTTAAAAACTAGGAAATTTATTAAATTCCGGGGAAAGTATTGAGAAAAGTGGGCTATGCACGTGTTGAGTGTGCTCAGCGGTGTTCCCGGTGCCAAACCCAGGGCAGGATTTAGGCTTGTGCAAATGCATGCAAAATAGTATGACTTGGCGTCTACGTGAGGCTGACGACCCTATACATCCATGGACGACCCATTGCGAAAATAAAATTCACAGATGCTCTGAAATATTTGGTAGTCGGGGCGGGCCTCACTTTTGAACAGATAACGTAGTCCTTCTTCATTGTTTCCGGATGATAATGATTTTACGTGTGAAAATGCAATTGAATTTTGTAATTGAATCTTTTATTGGGTTAGGATTTTTATAACCCTTTTAAACATTTACAAGATCACGCTTATAATTACATTCACATATTGAGGCTGACTGTCTATTTTTAAAAGTTCACAAAATTATGTATCATTAAAACTTAATGTCCGAGTGAATTAGTTCTCTTTGCTGCATTATGTAATTTAATAAAATGTTTTTGGTTCCTAGCACCGTCGTTTTCGAATGGTAGGTTTTTCTGCGTCACAAATTGACGTATGGAATTTGTGAATTTTAATTTATACTGAAGAGCTAATAGAGTCCAATGTAGCTTAAAAGGTGGAGATCTTTGAAGTAAAATATCATAGTAATCAAGCCTCGTGCCTCCTCTTGTGTCTCCTTGATATCTTTTATTAGGCGAAAGTGCAATCCTTTCTAGGAAATTGTACACGTTTTATATATCTTTCGTCATAATTTCCTTCGCAAACGCCATTCTCGCCCTTTCTTTGGCATTTTAAATCAGGACAACACCAATCCGTACTATAGCAATCCTTGTTCTGTCCTTTGCAAGTACCTGTTCCCAATCGCTGAAAGTGGTCAGTCAATCTAGGCCCGTAGTAGCAAAATCCATTGTCCGACTTCCAATCTTCAAACGAACTAACGGCACAATAAGTCGCATCGTAAAACATTTAGGGAGGATTTTTGCAGGGCTGGGTTTTGTCACACGTCTGAAAATATGGCCACAAATTATCACAGTTTTATAAAATAATGCATAATTTAAATATTAATTGTACTAACTGAGATGGAGACAAGTGCCAAAGTAATTATTATAGCGAGTTTCCATTTCTTTTGCATATCGAGCAGTAGTAATTGGCTCGGCACAATAATCCCAAATTTCTGAAATGTCGTCAATTATTCGCGATTTAAAGTCAGTTCATATTATACTTACATTTTATTTGGTTTTTTAGTGTAAGCAATCCACTCGGGAATCGTATCTTAATTTAAGAGTAGGTCAATTTATTTACCAGTCTTGTGCTTAGTCAGTTATGGAACAAATTGCGTATGAATTTAACAATGAATGACAAAATATTTATGTAACTGGAGTTTGTTTTTGAAGGCGGATTATTAATTTATTCTTTGAGCAATAATGTGACTACAAAATCAATTGAACAATTATAACTAAATTTATTAGAGCCATTAACTCACACTTTGCAAAGTACCGGAAACGGTAAGAAATGAAATTTCTAGGCCCGTTGTTTTCAAGTACTAGGTTTTTATTGCGTCACAAATTTACGTAGGGACTTTGTCATTTGTGAAAATTATGTTATCTTGACCAAGTAATACATATACGTAATGCATAGCTTAAAATTAACGCTTTCATTCCAAATTTCACATGTTTTAACATATTTAAAAATATTTCATATAGGTAGAGCTCGTTTTCCATATGTGCAGAGCTTTGTGCTAAAACAAATTGTATTTAAATGTGTAATTTACTATTTAAATTTGCAAATGTCTGACAAATTGTGAGTAAATTTCTATACATAGATAAATTCATTTCATCACTTTATTATCATTTACATATTAACTGAGTAAGAAACTTTACACAGGCTTTTTAGGAAATTGTAATTTTTTTATATAATTTTCATCATAATCTCCCAAGCAAACCGGTTTATCGTCGGGGCCTTCGCAGTTTAAACCAGGACAACACTTATTCGTTCCAAGGCAAGCCTTTAACTGTGCAAAGCAGGTACCTTTTCCCAATTGAAGAAAATGCTTAGTCAATTTAGGCCCATAGTAGCAAAACCCATTGTTCGACTTCCATTCTTCAAATGAACTAACGGCACAAGACGTCACACCATGGAACCCTGCGGGAGGATTATTGCATTCTTCAGGACTTTTGCAGGGCTGGATTTTGTCACACGTCTGAAAAGTATAGTGACAAATTTTCCCATTTTTTAGAATAATGCATAGTTTTAAATGGTAATTGTGTGTACTTACTGAGAGTGAAACAAGAGCCGAGATAATTATTATGGCGAGTTTCCATTTCTTTTGCATATCGAGAAGTAATAATCGGTGCAATAATTTTGAATTTCTGAAATGTAAATGCAAGTCATAAAGAATTATTCACGATTTAAAGTCAGTTTATATTGTAAAACACCTACGTTTCTTTGCAATTTCTTATTTCACGCAAGGATTTAGAGTTAGGTCGGGGGATCCTCTTCGTACAATAATTCATTTATGAATGTACTTAAAACCAGTTAAGAAATGAATCACTATGAAGTCGACTTTACGACATAATGTGTAATACAAGAGTTTGTTTTTTAAGAATGAAATTGCTAAATCGTTAAATTTTGCCCTTGAAGCGAAAGGATATTCATTGTAAAGTCAAAGTGTAAGAATTTGATTGCGTATGAGCAGAAAGACTATAACTGCCAAAGAAACAATTATGTAATTGATGGTTAGAATTCTTAAAAACTATAAATACGATTTCCTACCGATTAGTAAATTTGTTTTTACCACTACATTATAAAACCGTAATGCTTGTTACTATGATGGTGGTAGAGTCATATCCTCTGACCAGTTAGGATCCCAAGGAAATGTTGTTTTTAGAGAGTACCTATGCATTAAAAATTGATTCCAAAAAATTGGACGCATTGATATTGGAATCTTCCAATGAACTGAATTTAATCAGGTGCATACGAAGACCATGAACACATATAAATCAGAGTTTCCGGATTTTTGAAATTTTATTTTATTTAGTAATTCGAAATTTGTCAGTTTTGAAGAATTGGGCAGTTCTATCGAAGTAGTATGAAAAACAAATCGCGACGAACATTTCCAGTACGATGAACAAATGAATTTGCATTAGCTTTTGTCAAATTGTGTAAAAAAATCGGATTGAATTACTGGAAAAGAAAGTGGTGCTATCTATCCATGCTTTATACTGGCCAAGTTTTTGTGAATATGGGCTTGTGAAAGTGTGTGGTTGATTTAGCATTACCAATATTCTTCACGTCAGCGTTTTAACTGTAAAATATTGAAGACGAAAATTTTGCTCCCGAGAATTAACTTGCCTGCATTATTAACGTTACACAATGTTTAGTTAATTATTTGTTAAGTATTTTTAAATGTTGACATATGTAAACTGTGAACAATTCTAGTCTTGACTACATATACGTATACCATTGCACGTTTAAGTTATTCATACGTATAGAGATATGAATCCAACACGATTACGGATAGGGTGATAAGGATCCCCAACATCTGCGACAAATAATAATTACAAAATCTCAACATTCTTATTTTTTATTAATATTTAATACCGTTGAGAGAAACCCATTATCAATGACAAACTTCCTCAATCCTCGGACGCCAACTGGTTGCTCATTCAACTCTTGGATAAGGTCCATACGCACCTTTCGAGAATGGCCCGCAACCACGCTCTCATTGTTTAAGAAGTCCTTAAATTCCCCCATCTGACGTATATAAAATTTCGAAATTTACGTGGACCGAGGTGCAAAAATTTCTTTGATTTTTTTGTATTACCTTTTCACAGATTTGGGCTGATACCCCGAAAAAGATGACATTCATCAAGATCTGGTAGCAGTAGCCAGCTTTTTCGTACCATCTTTTCGTGCCTCGACCACCAAGCTCCCGGGAGATGACATGGACAGAATCCAAAAGAAGAAAACGAGCGGGCTGATAACATTGTTGATGACTTCGTTCCCTTGGAAGACATTGTAGAACTCTTGCGCCAACAATTTTCTCAGTTTGGATGTGAATTCATACGTGGCGTCAATCAGAGTTAATGCCCCAATCACTATGAGCGTGGTGGCGAATGCCTGGGTCAAGTTGTACGACATGCTCAGGAAAAACTGTAGCCCGTAAAATTCTAAATCCCCTATGGATACGGCACACTGGCATGTTGTATTTCTTTCACAATCCAATAATTTTTCATCCTCATCATCAGTATCAATTTGCCAGTACCGTCTGGCCCAGTTAGCATAGAGCGGTATACCACATGAAGGTCCATATTTATAAATATATGGGAGTCCCAATTGTATGAGTGTCCCGTGAGCTCCAAAGGCGATTGCAAGCAGACAGAAAATGGCGATGACGACCTTCCGGAAAAACTTGAATTCCTGAAAAAAACAGGAAAATGTCAATAATACATTGAAATAATATATTTTTAGCACATTAAGCAATAAATTTCAGTGTTGGACTAAATACTTCGAGCAAAAAATAGAGACATAACTTATGTCTGTTTTAGATTAGTCACGTTATATACGTTTGTACAAAAATTCATATCATTTTGATATATACGCAAAGGCGTAACCGGAAACAATCACCTCGGAAAATATCTCCCGGAAAAAATCTGCAAAGGACGTAAAGGACATGAAATATTCATACAAATTTTTTACGAAAGATTTTAAAATTGTTTTAAAAGATTTGCATAATATTATTACAAAAATTAAATTGGGCAATTTTAACGCCAGATAAAAATTGTATGAAACATGAAAACTCGAAACTTGTTAATTAGATATGATCCAAGTTATCTATTTAGTAATGATGATTTTACAAATTCATCAAAGTATTTTTCAAAACTTGCACAGTTTACAAAAACATGAGTGAATCGTCTTGATAAAATGGTCTGGAATATACCTATGCACATATTTCACATTTACTACTTTGAAAAATGCAACTGCTATGAAAATTTGATACGTGAACCCAAATTTGTAAAGATATTTCATGCATTATTGTACCCAAAATCTTACAGACTTTTCCCAAAATGTAAGGTGTCTCTGGTGCAACATTTGTGGTTCTTAGCAAATACTGTTACAAGATCTCGTAAGGCCAGTATACTGGCCTTACATGTAAGTATATATATAAGTATGTATACATACTTATATACGTAAAATTTACGAATTAAAGTAGAGGATGAAACAAAACAATCGGATAAAATTTATCCAACTCCTATGTCATCCTCTATTTTACTTTATGTTAAGTAAATTTTACTTATGAATGAACCCATGTATTTACAAAGCGTACTTTATTTTGTGTATCGGTTGCGACGAAATATTTACAGATTCACTACAGTTTAATCATATTGAATGATCGAGTTCAGCCAAGATGCTTTATAACTTAAGTATAAATATGATATGGTATAATTGATACCGATAATTCCAAGAAATAAATTGCTATACATATGTATTTTGCGAGAATTCATTCATTATCAATTAAACTGTGAGTTACATACAGCGGAATAAAATGCAATATTCGTTTATATGTCAATCTAGCAAGATAGACAAGGTCGTGGAAAATAAATAATCACGTAATTCACACAGTCCTTGATAACTTTGTAAAATCCTTGATTTTGGTAACATCCTAAATTTTACAAACTAGCTTAAAATAAAGACTACATAAGACATATTTTTCTAAAATTTCTAATGTTTTGTGCCACGTAATCAAACTCGGCTAGATAACTTCTGAGATGCTTTCTCTTTTTTCGAACGAGCAGTAATAGCAAATAATAACTTGATTGCAATCCTACATTTTTATTAAAATTTATGTAGTTATATGTGCTTACCCATTTCCTTTCCTCATGAATTGCATGGTACGTTAGCAATTTTCCAATAAATTCTTCTACAAATTCTTCCACCAGTGGAAACCTCCAGACAGAGTAGTAGAACGCCAAAAAGACCGGAAAGCGAGCAAATTCTTGGATCACATCGAAGTAGTAGAAGATGATTTTGATGTTGTATTGCGTTGTCAAGAACCGAAAGATGAAGAGCAATGCCGTTAACACGATTGTCAAGATGTGGACGATAGCGCAGATGGTCTACAAATAAATTATTTAATAAATTGAGGGATTTAGGTTCATACATTTCTTTGTGTGATTACAGTGGCGTTAAAATTGAGCCTGAAGATTTGTAACGATTTTTGAAGAAAAAAATCGAGAAAAAGGAAATGGTTGTCCTTAATTTTAAAGTTTTATCCTGCGTGCTAACTAATTAAAGTGAAGGGCAAATTATTTGAATTTGGTTGTTGGTGGACAGTTAATATTCCGTAGAAATTCAAATATAAATAAATTGTTATATACTAAAGCCTCGAGTGGGCGACAATTTTGCTACCACTTTGGTTAGTGCATTACCATTTGAACTGGATGAGTGTGGAGGACATAGGTCCGACCAACGTCAACTTTCACTCTCAGATAACGGAAAGGAATGACGCCACAAAAGTAGGCAAAACTGAAAAACGTGACAAAAATTGGTGCGCTGGGCGACCCCATGATTGAAATTTCGTTCAAGATTTTTTAAGTTGAGATTTAAGTCGTTCAGATTTTTGAATGACCGCTTGTCGCAAGGTGTAGGACGCGAATGACCAGAATTGCAAGAAGCTCAGGAGTTTATACCTGGGGGAAGGTTAAGTCGACGTGTCTTACCGAATGGCGTCATACCGATCACAAGACGGACGCCAAAGCAGGTGTAAGATGAATCATGAAGAGAAAGTAAAACCTGGCCTGGTGAAAATAGACATTTTTTTATTGTTCTCCTAACCGGACCATCGCTTTGTTTTGTCCAGTCCAGTAAACAAAATTAGGACGACACATTAATTGCGCGGAACAAAGGTTTGTTCCTCGGGCCTGAAATCGCGTGAAATCGAACTTACCTTGCAGCAAAGCATGTGAAATACATAAGCTGAGGGAATATTGATCATATAATGCTAAAAAGCTTTCATGTGCATTTTTTGTATGAAATTCAAAGTCTTTTTAAGAAACTTATAAGTACAACTCATCAAGATCCATACGAGCACGTGTAAACCGGACTCCCCGGAGTTTTAGATACTGAAATTTTACTTTCATCTTTGGAATTCTCAATTTGACACAGTTTTGAGAAATGGGTAGTTCAAGAAAAGTGGTATGAAAAACATGTCGTGGCACAGTTTCGGCCATTTCAAGTAGGATGATTAATCGAATTCGGATCGGCTTTTGTCTCATTGTACAAAAAATTGGATTGCATGTTCTTAATTACTGGAAAAGAAACTTGTGCTGTTTCTACATTCTGTGTGGCCAATTTTTATGCCAGAATATGAGCTGGAGAAAGTGCAGCAAAGCAATGCAATACATAAAGTTAAATGGACTATTTCTTGCTCAAAATTTTTCAAGCGGGTTTCCTGAGAAATTGCATGCCATGCTTTTAGGAAACTTATCTCAGAAAGGAATAAATCTGTTTTAGGACAATTTGTAAGCTCGTTAAAATACAAATCTTTAATATGTAATGGGACTATGTATGATCACCGGGATTTCTGGATTTTGGGAAATCAGGACTTTAATTTGAGGTAGAAATTTAAATTTTAACACGGTTTTAAGAAGCTATTTCAATATCAATTAATTGTATGATGAGTAACCGGATTTGGATCGGCTTTTGTCTCATTGTGTAAAACATTGGATTGCATGTTCTTAATTAGTGCATAAGACAAGAAAGTGGGGCTGTGCTGCATATGTACACCAGAATACGAGCTGGTCAAAGTATGACTCATTTGCAACAAATCAATACAATGCATAAGCTAATAAACGGATTGTTAAATTTAATTTAATTTAAATTTTCAAACAGATTATTTTGTGAAATTTCAATTTTAGCAAACTTATCGGATAAAGCAATATTTCATTTTTAGAACAATTTGTCACAATCGACTGTTAAAAATCTTTAAAATGGCAGGTGACTTGAGAACAGGGATTTTTGGATGTTTAGAAATGAGGACTATAATTTGAAGTAGAAATTTGCATTTTAGCACGATTTTAAGAAATAAGATAGCCCGAAGTTTATGAAAAACGAGTCGTGACACAGTTCCAGCCATATCGATGTCAAGTAGGACGAGTTAGCGAATTTGGATCGGCTTTTGTCTCATTGTGAAACATCCGATTGTATGTTCTTAATTACTGGAAAAGAAAGCTGTCTCTCCATGCTTTGTGGCCAAGTTTTATGCCAGATGAAGTGGAAATCTCATATCCACAAAGCCATGCAACAAATAAGCTAATGATAAACGGGTTATTTCATGCAAAAATTTTTTCAAACAGATTATTTCCGAGAAACTTCAGGTCACACGTTTGGTAAGCTTATCTTAAGATTTGTCAAAATGCAAATCTTTAATATACCACGTGGCTTTATATGATAACCAGGATTTCTGGATTTTTAGAAACGGGGACTTTAATTTGATGTAGGGATTTGCATTTTACTACTTAAGAAATAAGATAGCAGGAAGTTCTATGAAAAACGAATCGTGACACAGTCCCAGCTATATCGAATCGATGTGAGTTAGCGAATTTGTATTGGCTTTTGTTTCATTGTGCAAAACATTCGGATTACATGTTCTTAAAGACAGGGAAAGAAAGTGATGTTGTCTTAACACTGGCCAAGTTTTATTTGTAGGCATGATATGGACGATTTAGCTTTGCCTGAGGTCACGTCAGCTTTGTAACTGTGTAAAATTTTACAAACGGACGAAACCAGACGAAAATTTGTCTTCGGGACGTGTAATTTTATTACGAGTGGGAATCTCATGCTAAACATTCCGTCCAGATTCTGTAAAAATTTGTAACTTTACAAAGTTACGAAGCTTGGCGTGCTCCTCAACAATTATGGTTTCCAGATTTTTGAATAAAACTGAATTATGTAACACGTACACATTACACTTTGTTTAAAATAGTTAAGAAATATGGTGAAGAAATTCACGCCAAGCTTTGTAACTTTGTAAAGTTACAAAAGTATTGATCCAGTCCAGTCCAGTCATGCCATTTCACAAATGTAAACACTTAAATATCGTCAGTGACGTGTTTCACGTTTGTGAGTAAAAGCTGGAAAAAAAATTATGTTGCAAAGTTTACAAAGGTGGCATACCTAACTGTTCTCACAAAATTCGTAAAATACATGCAAATTTGATGAGAACTTGGAAAATTAAGAAACTAATGTTTACCATGAAAAGACCAAGTTATACACATTTATCGTGTCACGGTCGCATCATATGAAAATTTTGGGATAAATATTTTAGTTTTTTGACGAACTTGACGTCGTTATTTAAAAATTCAATATTTTCATATTAGAAATATTATATTCAGATAATTTCATGAGTTTATTGTAAGGAACGTTAATCTTTTTGTGTAATGCCGTCACGCTTATTTGGCGTCTTATTAATAAAACGATCCCTTAATCATTACCAAAAAATAGAGCATAATGTATTCCGCGGGAGACGATTTGTCTCCAAATTATTTGGAGTGTATGTAAGATGTAAGTATACTTTTTGACCCAATTACCTACGGGATCTTCGGCGTAGATAAGCCCTAATCCGTGGTGTACAGATGGACACCGCATTTCCTTGATGTGATGATATGAAAATCGGTATCAATCAGTATGAAAATCTTACTATAACATGATGAATGATTGCATGACTCCACTTTTTCCCATAAACTAATCCCATGCAAAATGCTACTTTAAACTATGCGATGCTCTACTTATGTATGTGTATATATGAGTCATATCATGCTTTAAAAAAATGGTGAATATCGCGGAATAAAAATTGGTAAATACACTTTAGTCAATTAATTGGCTGGGCACAGGATTTTATTTCGTCATCAAAACCAAAAACATTTTGTCATTGGAATCAAGAAGAAGATAAAAATGCATGTTTTTTGATAATGGTGACAGCAGACCACGCCAAGCGGAGTTGGTTAGGCAGCCTGTAATTTAATCAAAAACAAACATAAATTTTCAGAAATTGTACAATATTTAAGAAAAGCGGACGTGATTGTAGTCAAATTTTCAAAAAAGTTGGACCAATTCACACTGACTAACCAAACAAAAAACTACCTAATTGAATCTAATTGAAGCTAATATAACGAATCGTCAACATTGACTTGACCACAAAAAATATTGCCTAAATTGAATGAGGAACAGAATGAGGCTTCCTGTGTTTACTAAAATAGGAACAAATGCGTAGAAAATGTCTGTCCGCAAAAAAATTCAGTTTCTGAAAAATCCTAACTACGCTAAATTGATTTAAACTTACCCGTTTATACGTTCGGGTCGCGACGGCATCTTTGCACGTGAATGTCGCCGTCATCCCAGCGTCGGTAAATTCTCGCACGGTGGTGGACTCGTCCGGGTCAATTTTTTGGGTTTGGGTCAACTTATTTCCTTCGAGGGTGATGGTCGTCTAAGCAAAAAAAGAAGGAAATTAACATCTAGTTTATGTGCGTAGCGTATCATTTTGTCTCGCTTATCGGATATATGTACTGACCTTGGCCGTCCTCCCGTCCGCAGTCTCCTCATCAAATTCCTCCCCCAACTTGAAAGTAATGGTCGTATTCTTGAAAACGGACAGAGTTTTGATCGTGTAGACGCCATCCGCCTCCGAAATTTCCACGGTGGGACGGGCTGCCGCGGCGGCGGCGCGTTTAGCAATGTTAAGCCCTGAATAATTAAGGGAGTTAATTAAATGATTTGCATAATAATTAAATCGTAATTAATTACGCAAGACTTTACTCACCCGCAGCTTTCAAGTAGCTGTCAAAGTTGTCGCTGGTATCCAACTCGTATCGGCCGGTGATGGACATGATGATTACGACGATTCTGCATGGAAAAAGTGAGGATTTCTCAAGTTAATTATTTAGATTTTCGAACTTTTTGAAGATTTTTGAAACTTGAGAAACTTACAGTTTGTTATTTAAAGAAGTAACAAAATGTTGTGGAGCCTTGTCCGAACTTGGTGTGGTCAAGAAGGGCGTCGAAAATGGAATGGAGAGGAGTCTCTTTCTGGCTTGGATTTTGAGAAGACGAGGAGAAGAGACCGAGATCTATGCAAAAATAAACTGGGAGTCTCGACTTAATTGATATATTTGTATGTATGTATCTCGTATTCTTGTGGAAGTAATGATGATGCTGGCACATAAATGTACAGTTTGGTATGTATATCAGAACAGAATTTTACTTGCAGGGGAGAAAGAGAGAGAGAGATGATGATTGCTAATAAATCTAAAGTTATTAACTAACACAGTGCAATGTACAGTACAGCAATAAAAGCTATGATGAATATGATGTCTGTCGAATGGATGGATGGATGGATGGATGGATATGACGACGACGCTATGAACATAAAATTTCGCTTTGAATTTAATCCTATTTGTGTATTTCGTGCAGAAATATTCCCCGACTTAATTTCAAATTTCATGTTATTTTAACTCGACAAAAGTGGGTTTGGATTTATGTAGAAGTCTGAGAAAAATATTTATCTTCTCAGAATCTGTGGACATTTGCAATTTACAAGGTGACGCCGTCTCGACAAGTCTCCGTTATTTAATTAATTTTGCATCTCATTTAGCACGTTATTAGCAAGAGCAAATAGGACGGAATGATGTGCACGATGATAATTAATAATTAGGCATATCTGTAACTTGAACTAGACAGTCAATAACAGTGCGAATGTGTAAATTGTACATTAAATATTTGAAGATCATCAGCATAATTGCAATTTTATAAATTGCAATTTCAATTCCACCACGACTCTAATGCAAGATGAGATGAGATCTGGCATTTAACGGGGTTCTTGTATTTCATTTATTTTGCATCGTCATCATCACCATCAGATCAGAAAGTTGGCAGAATTTGACGAGCCAGTTGATGAAATGAAATGCGGTCGGATTTACTTACATAACTTTTGTAGGTAGTTTGGGCAGACGGTTTATAAAATAAAAATCTGCGTGTCCTACTTACATATTTTATTCAGATTGGGATACGAATGAAGGTTTGAGATGTGGAAATCCTTGCCTGATTTATTTAGAGGAAAGAGAATAAATGTGAAGTTAGAAATTTATGGACGGTTTTGAAATTGGAAATTTTAGATTTCGGAAAACATGAAGTAATTCTTATGTTAAATATGCGTTGCTAAGTATGTACAATTTCTAGCCTGACGTAAATGTGTAACCTTTATGAATCGATTTGTACTGGTCAATGTCAAAGGTCACATTGAATCTCGTCACAAAATGCTATCCTCCTCTTCCTCCGGGGATTGGACTAATCCAAACTTTTACATAGAAGTGGAACGTGACTACGCCAGAGATCCAAATGGGATAAGATTTGTGACTAATTTTCCGCCTGAGTTGAAAGGATCGGTAAATGTGGAATTAATTAGTTTTTTGTTAAAATTAGTGTAAAAATTAACCAATTTTTCAATAAAGGTAACCCGGAAAATTTATGTGGAGACGATTGAGGGGATTAATGCCTTATTTGAGGAGGCGGAGAGCTTTAGTTGGGCGACGACGCTGGAGTCACTGCTCTGGTATGTGACCTGCACGGGGATCCAGTATTGTAAAAAGACAAGGATAGAAATTGTGAGGAAATTTTGGAAAATTATTTTGATTTTTGGGAATGAAATTTTGTTACGTATGTCAAATTAGGCTCTGGTGAAAATACAAAGTTTTATCTGTGAACAAAACGACACTGTTTTTCATCCTGTCGGACTGCATATTGTCCATCCAATAGTTTGCGACCTGCTTAGTGTAAGATGTAATCAAAATCTAAAATATTTCTTACCTTTAAATACTCAATTTTAACATTTTACAGATTGGGATTCGAAACATTGCAAAATATCAGCTTTACAAGGGGGTGGAAGAATTTAGGAGTACATTTCTATAATTGTGGTGGTTGTGGTTGTGATTGTGATTGTGACATTTACATGAATTTTATTTTATTTTGATCCCATTTAGTATTACAATGAAAGATTAGTGGGTGAAATGAGTTAGTTTTATTCGTAAAATAAAATGTATTTTAAAAATGAACAGAAAATTGGAGAATATTGGATATGAAAAGTATGTAAATAGTAAAATTAACTGACATCGAGTTTGGTACCTACATATAATACGAAACTAAAGGAACTAAAAAATTAAGGAACTTTGAAACTATTCCGAACAAAAGGTGAATTCGAGGATGAAACAAGTAAAAAATTGGTACGCATTATCCATCTGTGAACTACTTTTTAACATAAAAAGTAAATCCACCAGCCTGTCCTGAAGTTGTATTCTTGTTCGTCGAGCCGAGTCCACCGCTTCCTCCAACCCCCTTGGCCACAGCAGGGTCAATTTGACGACTTAAATATTCCACCGTTTGTTTGAGGTGATTCTCTGTCGACTCCTTATCTTCCAGTTCTCTCTGCAATTTGCGAAGTCGGGCTTGGATTTGTTTCTGAAAATTTAAAATCAAGATTTTTAATTGGGAATTAAACTTGTATTTACGTACATTAATATTTTAAACAGCTCTACCTCTTTGATGAGAATGTCCTGCTTTAACTTGTCAACGGCCTCGTTCTTTTCATCAATCTCCATGTAAATGCCTTCCGTACGAGCTTCCCGTTTTGTGAAGGCGTCCCTAATCCCATTCTTTCTCGTTTCCATTTCCACCAGGGTATCGCCCGATTGGAGTCGGACGAGGTCAGGATCCCCTCGCTCCAAACCATCCCCTGTTCCATTTTAAAATTGCAACATTTAATTAAATATAATGTGCACAATTAAAGTACATATGTATATTCATTAACTCACTATACTCCTTGTACTGCTTCACCGTCTCTTTTAGCTGATCGAGCTCTTCCCTAAGTTCCTTATCTTCCGAATTTTCCTCCATTTCGTTGATCTGGTCGATTCTGACGACTTTGTCGACCTGAAAATCGACATACTTTGATTCCAGGACTTTATACTTGTCTTCCGCCAACTTAGTCCTGCACTGAACTTGGACCAACTCCTTGACCAACTCTTGGTGATAGTTTTCCTTCTCGACGAGGGTGTTTTTGGCGTGGAAACATTTTTCCTTGAGTGCTCTCACTTTTGCAGTTATGATTCCTAAACTTCCCTCAGCTAAGGCTACTTTACGCTCCACTAGATGCACGCAAAGGTTAAGTAATTAGTTAACTAATTAAATATGCATCTATTAAGGAAATTGATTTAACTCACACAACTTGACTTGTTCCCTCTTCTCGGAAATTTCACGATCAGTCTCTTCTCGTTTTGATCGAACGAGGGCGTGTCGACCGGCGATAAGTTTGACGGGATGGGCAGCCACACCCCCTTCGACGGCGGCTCGTAGCTCACTCAGCCCCATGGAGGAACCAGCCCCAGTGGATGGTGGAAATTGTACCGGTGGTGGTGGTGGGTATCGTTTCAGCTCCATAGACACACGAGGTGGGGGTGGTCGTGCCGTTGTGGGAGTGACGACGGTGGTGGTCATCGTCGTCGCTATATCGCCCAATGACGATGGTAACACTTTTTGTTGCAATACTTCTTCAAGATTCGTTTCCTGACAGGTTTTTTCAGGTTGAGTTTCCATTTTTAGGTGAAATAAACTTGCAAAATAAACTTTGTATACAAATTTAGATTATTGTTGGAAATTTAAGTTTAATTGGGCACAAAATCTGCTGAGAAATTAAAGTGGAGAAATGGAGTTGTGGAAAAATGAGACAATTTTCTCGTCGGGTTCAATGACCTCTCAGCTTTTTTGAACGTTACCCCCTTTGTTTCTTCACATTCAGCAGTAGGTGGCACTCGGGAGTGGTGCTGTTCTGAGGACGAAAAAGTTTCAAAATTTTGATTTATTCTGGAAATTTATAAAAAAACCTACAGTGCAGACTCCATATAGCCCGAGTCAGGGACATAGTCCCTGACTCAATAAGTCAGAGCCCGCTTCTAAATTCTTTTCCGAACTGACCGACATAATATCACCAACTTCCGTGTTGTGGATGGTTAAAAGTTTGTTAGATAGTTTCTATTATTTGGTACCAAATTTTTGAATTAGTTACAAATCATGTGCCTTGACCACCATGACCAGTGGCTTCTTTAACAACCTGAAGTTCTAAGCTGTATGTATGTGCTATTCAGCCTCCAAATCAAATTTCAGCTCGATATAACGATTTTTAAAAATCAGTATGGGTCACCCCATACTGATTGCACTCTGGTCACTTTGGTCTGGTTGCACTTTGTTCACTTTTAACTTCATATTCTTTAATTAGCAGTCATTAAGTATCATTGTGCCGGATTTCATCTTTTTAAAGCAATTTCTAAAAATCGGTATGGGTCACCCCATAGGGGCGTTCCAGATAAAAATTTTACCAATATCATATCATATTCTTTCATTAAGACCCATAAGCAACCTCTCCACCAAATTTCAGTTCGATATGATGGTTTTGAAAAATCGGTATGGGTCACCCCATAGGGTCACTCATGATGAAAATTTTTCCAACCTGAAGTTATTTTTTTCTATTAGGAGCCATTAGCAACCTCTGTACCAAATTTCAGCTCTCTACAACAATTTTGAAATTTTGGTGCATAAGACCCCACCCACTCCGATGACCCCCACCGGTCAACCACTGGACCGATTTCGCCCATCTTCGAACTCGTTTCCTAACTTTGTCCAATATGCATATGGTAAAAATTTCAAGTCAATCGGTTTAGCCGTTTTGGCTCTATCGTGCCGGACAGACAGACAGACAGACGGACGGACATGACGGTTCTATAAGCCCTGACTCGGGGTAAAAAGTGATATTCTTATAAAATATTTATAATGGAACGAGGACACATCTCTAATATTAATAAATGACTGAAATTGTCGAAAAACCTAATCGACGTAAAATAATCTCAGGAAAATTTAATAAATAATGCTTAATATGTACATATTGCATAATTTACACTTAATTTTTTAAGAAAAGTATGCATGGAGTCACATCAGATTATGTGGTAAGGCAATCTAATTAAAACTTAAAAGTGATGTTTTTAGAAATATCATTTTTTTTTACTTTTTAGGTTACAAAACGCAAAGTTTAAATACACGTAAGTTATTCCCAGCTTCATTTACATTGGAGCATTAAATTCGTGTTGACAGTATTCAATAGAGTTATGTGCAACATCATTATTAGAGTCCAATGTTAATAAGTATTCTCGATTTCCGATAAAATACTCGATAATTGAATAACCTTTATGTGCACAAAAAGTAGTATTCATATGAATGAATGAAACTGAACAACATTCAATTAAAAGGAGAAAAACAGAGTTGAGGAGTTGCTGATATCTGATGAGAGTAACTTTTACCGTAATGACACCTGTGCTTAGCGAGTCAATCAGAAAATCTTTCCCCTTATTATTTTCTCCTGCACGTTTAATTAGTGGGGAATTATTTAGTCTGTAATTTAATTTATCAACACGTAGACAGGCACGCAGTAAATAGGTGGACGTACGTGACCATTTGTGAATGAGCAGTATTTAAGTACGCGTTTACATACTTCCGCATACATTTTACTATTAAAAAATTTCCAATTTTTTCAGAAAATGGGAGAAAAACGACCCACCGACAAAAGCTTTTTGTCCGACTTGTTCTGGACTGCGTTCAATTTTCTCCGCATGTACATCATTGGCTTGGGCTGGCTCTGGCAGCAGTTAGTCGATCCGCATAGAAAATTGAAGGGTAATAACAATTCAAAATTATTATTTAGTAAGTAACTAATTACCAACTTAAATATGTATAGATTTGCCCAAGAGAACCGGAGAAACTGCCATCGTCACCGGAGGAGCGAGGGGAATTGGGGTTGAAGTCGTAAAACAGTTACTCCAGGCGGATATGAGGGTTATAATCGGTAAGAAATAATTATTTATGGTGGATTTGCATATTTATTATAGTTTTCATCGCAGGATGTCGCGATGTAGCGATCGGAAATCGTGTCATAAAAGAAATTCTGGCCTCTGGGATTAAAACTGGAACTGCTGAGTGTATCCAGTTGGACTTGGAGTCGCTCCAGTCCGTGAGAATGTTTGCCAAGGCGTTTTTGAAGTTGGGAACATCACTCAGCGTGCTGGTCAATAATGGTGGGTGTAAAATTTTAGGGACCTTTTAGTGGGCATAGGTATTAATTAATTATTTATGTAAATATGTCTGCATAGCGGCATACTTTGGCCCACATAGAATGACCATTGACGGATTCGAGGCGCAGCTCCAGATCAATTATTTGGGCCACTTTCTTCTCACGGTGCTTTTAATTCCAGCCTTGATTCGAGCCGGGAAAGTGGGAAAATGCAGTCGAGTTGTTAATGTGACCTCGATGGTGTCGAAATTGGGAAATATTGAGTTTGATGACTTTTTAATGAAGTAAGAAAAAAATAGTGTAAATGGATCAGATTACATTAGCTACGTAAATTTGAAATCGATTTGCACGTCAAAGCGTACATAACTTCGTTTATGAATAAGCGAAATAGTAATCAATCTGATTTTTTATTTCATTAAGTAATAACCGTGTTTATTTTTATCTCGGCTAGGAAATATTACAATCGCAACGTGGCCTATTGCAACACAAAATTGATGCAAGTTATCTCCTCGAACTATTTGAATAACCGATTTCTCGCCGAAAAACTGCCAATCGAATGCTACTCCGTCCACCCGGGTGTCGTACGGACGAATTTATTCATACATTTCCAACTCTATCGAATCCTCATGTTGATGCTACGAATTGTCGGATGGGTAATTCATAAATATGTAAAACAAGCTTTAAAATTCCTGACGGAAAGTTTGTATCTGAAAATTTTAAATTCCAGCCGCCCTCCAAGGGGTCCGACTCCATCGTGTATACTGCATTTTCGGAAGAGTTGGAGGGTCACGGGGGTAAAATGGTGTCCAACTGTACCTTCGTGACGCCAAATCCACAAGCTGATGACGCCTTGATCCAACTCCGACTCTGGGAAATGTCCTGCAATCTGACCAAACTTGAAGGAAGCAAGCAAGCAAGTACCATTGTCCCAGATCCTTTTATTCTGGTCGATATTGAGTAGTGGGTCAGCTGCATTAATTCCTTTTTATGAATGAAGGCAAGAACAGGAAGTGTTTTTCGAGGAAAAAAATGTACACAACTGCATAAAAATTGGTAGTTTGTTTAGTAATTGTTTTCACGAGTGAATGTCAACCCAGTAAAATACTTAGGTACATGTGTATCCACGTAGACGGGCATAGATAAGTAGGAATTTCCTGTGTTTAGAAAGACGAAGAACATAAATTAGCGTAATTTGCAACCTGCCTTAATTACCTACGTATTTATTAAGAGATAAATTCAGAGGAACAATTATGTATGTTACCTCGTGTATGGTTTAGTAAAGTGCGTTGGTTAGGTTGGTAAAGGTTAGGACCTGCAATTTTCTGCGAATTTTAGCGTCTAAAATCTACCACAAACAAATGCTTTTCACAAATTCAAACTAATTTTAGAAGAAAATTGTTATTAATTGGAATTCAGTAAATTTTGTGAATAATCAGGATACCCAAAATGCCACGAATTGAATACATCATTGAAAATATAACGTTTATTCAAGTGGAAAAACAAAACGATTATGTAAATATGTCGCATAATATCTGCTCAATCTACATTAAATTAGCTAAATTAGCAATTAAGTGTCCGTCCACTAATTGTTACTGTTAGCATACATATAATTTGTAAAAAGAGGGGAAACTACATAATTTAAGAAAATTATAAGTAATTGAATTTGTCGTAAGTAAATTTAGTTACATAATTTTAAGGTTAAAATAATACGAATTTCATAACAGATAAGTACCTTGATAAGCTGTGGGTGGAGATAAGTTATTAATTCTAGCGAGTGACGGCGTCCTCTGTATTTTTCGAGTAGGATGGAACTAGTTATTTTGGTAACTCGTTATTGATTGGTACACGTAAAATTATAAGAGTTAAAAAAATGGACAAACTTTTTCCCCTCGGTCGTAAATATAATTTTAACATTTAATTAGATCTCTCCGTGTCTAAATTTATGTATGCATACATGATGATAAGTATTTAGTAATATGTAGAATGATGATAAGTGTCTTATCGGTAATAGGATAATATGTGTGTTTATAGTTCCAAATTCGGATTATGTACTTATCATTTTCGGTTGTTAAATCTTTTCTAAATTTCTATTCCCATTTTTTAACTTGTTAATTTATAGAGTGTATTTTTACGTCTAGTTTTCGGGGTAAAGAATCGATTTTGGGGGGAAGTTTGACCTCTGACCTCAAATCGATCATGCATTATTTACGCAGGGCCCTCTGTTTTAGAGTTGAGAAAGGGGAAAATTTGCATTATTTTACTTTTTCTTATGACGAGGACTGAGGTGAATTGTCCAGTTTGGTCGTTTCGACGGGGGGACAGCTGGAATTAGAGTTGTCCGACGTGGTGCCCGTTTCTGGCGTTGCGGGCGAGCCGGCAGCCGATTCTTGCGGAATGAGACCTTCCTTCAATCGCTTTTTCTGCTTCATGCGACGATTTTGAAACCAAATTTTGACCTGGAGAAGAAATTTATACAATTGTTTCAGAGATATTTAGGGAATCGTTTTTTTCAAAATTTGATTCTTGAGAAATGTTTAATCCGAGTTGCGTGTTTCATAAAATTAGACAATTTTGTTAGTGAATAAATAGGAGACTTGTTGAAAAAAGTTGCGTTTTTAATGTGAAATTTGTTAACGCCGTTAAAAAATTTGAAGAGTTTAAATATTGTTAGTGTACACGTTGTAGGTCGCCTACTCGCCTGTTCTTTTTGGTCGTATTTAATATTATAGTAATAAGACAAATAAATTCAATTTCAGTTTTTGAAATTCTTTGATTTTGCACAATGTTCGTTTTATATTTAGAAATATAATTCTGACTTAACTAATCCTAAGCTGTGGTATAGCTGTTTCCTGCTACATATGCTGAATTTTGATCACGTATTATTCAATTTCAATCATTTATTTTATGAAAACAAGTGATCAATTTTCTGGAAATTAGGGGTTAAAATTTTCCAAAAACATAGATTTGAACAAATTTTGACAGCACCAATTTTTGTTTGTGCAATTATACGAAATTGTTATAATAAAAATTCGAAAAAAAGTTTCTAGAAAATTGAGCACATTGTACGATTTATGATAGATTTTGTAAGAAGTTTAGATCGCTGTTTTTTGTTAGTGCATTTATAACATGTACCAATTTTAATAAAAAATTCGAAAAAAGTTTCTAACCTGAGTCTCATTGAGTTGGAGGCTGGACGCGATTTCGATTCGTCTCGCCCTTGTGAGGTACTTGTTGAAATGAAATTCTTTCTCCAACTCGGTCAACTGCTTCGTCGTGAAGTTCGTGCGACCCGTGGCGCCCGGACCCACGCTGCCAACGCCACAGTTAACCCCACCACCGCCCCCGCCACCCCCACCTGGGGATCCGACCCCACCGTGACCGTAGTCTCGGATCACTGCAAAGTAAAATATCAAAATTAGTAAATTTGTTGCTTAAGAATTTTGTTGTTTAAAAAATGAATATGAATTTTTAACCCTTTCATTTATTTTGTGGTTTTGATTTACATGATTTTTTAATCTTGTGTAAAAACAAGAATTTTATTGAAGTAATTTCATCGGCATCTGAGGACATTTTCTTGAATTATTTTTATTGCGAGCTTTCTTTCACATACAGTGAACTTCGTCAGGCAAAGTTTTTGATAGAAAATTTAAATTAAAGAATTTTATTCTTTAAAGAATAAAATTCATTGGTTCTGAAAACTCTTTGGTTTATTCTATGGTTTGAATTTACGCGAGTTTTTCGAAAATTTAAAATTGTGTTTTGGATTTTAGAATTTGATACATATTTTTTATAAATTTTGCATTTTGTAATCCTTGGATTTTTTTGTTGACTAATTTCGAATTTTTATCACGAATTCGGTTCCTAATGTTTTACAATTTGATTACGAGCTGAAGAAAAAACCGTCTCATTAATTAATTAACTGGAACCCAGTGACGAAGAAGAATTGCCCCTGTGAGAAATTCGCTGAAAATTAGATTTCCAAAAACATGGGGATTTTATCTGATAAGCAACGCACGTACGTATGTGGATGCGTCATTTATCATTACTTTAAAATGAAAATGGAACCACCAACCAGATCACAAGTTTTGAATTGTTTTCACGCTATTTTTTGTAAGAGGACTGTTCACAAAGGGTGTGATCGAATTTAGGTGTCAAGAAATTTTGTCATTTCTTCTGTAGTATTTATCACATGGGTCACGTAAAGGTCGAAGCACGTGTTTTTCCCATGAGCTGCATATTTTTTTCATTTTTTGAAGGGGAAGAAGATACTTACGCAATTCATTGGAAACGTTGTAAAATCCGTAAAAGTTTGTAAAAGTTTTGTACAACAATTTTACTAATTTTTACAAAATTAAAAGACTATGATCTGACGATGAGTAAGTTTGCAAAAATTCGTAAGCTAATTTTATTTAAAAATATTTGTATGTTTTTAAGATTATAAGTTACAGAATTTACGGGTTTTACAAAGTTACTAAGACATTCGTGTCCTTTGGCTCACTAATAAAGTTTGAACTTAGTTTCTTCGTAATTTCGTAACAATTCTGGAAATGTCTGACGCCGTTTATTAAAAATTAGCAGATTTAATTATACAAAAAAATATTTAGGTAATTTGACGGGTGACATTGAACATAATACATTCAGGTCTCCTTTAGGAGGCTTATCCACTTTTCTCTGGATGGGTGATTTGTACCATGTTACCAAGGCCTGCGTGGATTGCCTCACTAAATTTTACATAAACATGTTAAAATTTGTGCTAAAATACTTTATGTGCGGTGCCCCTAACTTTTTTTGGGGGGTCACGATGCATGGATCGACCAGCGTTGTTGGTTTGCTTGCTCGGTCGGATGGCAACTTTTCAATTTGGTTTCTCTAATTCAAATGGTTTGTTTTTTGTCCCACCGACATCCGATCCATCATTCTCTCCGACATCTCCTCTTCTCTGGGCCTGCACTTTTTTCTCTTCACAAAAACACACTCCTTACTTACTACATAATATATATTTTCTCAAAGTAAACTTGCTAAACTGAACGCTGAAATGAAACCAAGTCTGCTGTTGGTTGGGTCCGATGGACAAAACTTATCCGACCAAAAATCCGGAATCAAGTGAACTAAAGGAAAATAAAAATAAAAAAGGCATCTTTTCCTTTGGTCACGTAAAGTAAAGTGGTATGTGTAATTGGAGAAAGGGAGTGAGAGAGAGAATTTTTAGTCTGTAGGGAAATGATTGAGTTGGTAGTTTTCGTATTTTTGAAGTATTTTGAATATTTTTTTGGTGGAAACAGATCTTATTTTTTGTAAAGTAATGAAGAATACTACTTATATAGGTTTTGTAAAGTTAAAATTTATAAAACTCAATTCTGTATGATTGAAATTTGCAGTTTGTTAATTATTAATTCGGATTGAGAAAATAATATGAAAGAAGCCTAATTAATTTTTAAGGAAATTAAGAAGGCAAAATATCATATCTAAACGTAATAAGTATTACAAATAAAATTAATTTTATCACAAACGGCGTCTCATTTTAACTCATCTTATTACGAGTTTTCATATTTTTGTAAAATTTTGGATTTTTTTTTGTGAAAATAAATTTTGTTTTTGTGCGAAGGAGAAGAAAATAGGGTTTGAAAATTTAGAACAGAAAAAACTATTAAGCGTTATAAAATTCAAATCGGCATGATGATCAAAATGATTGAGTTGCTAGTTTTCATGGTGAATCTTTAAGTATTTTGGGCATTTTTTTGTAAAAAAAATCTTATTTTTGTATGAAGAAGAAAATAGTAGGTTTTGAATGAAATTGAGATAAATTCAAATCAATTTGGGGAAAAACAATTGATAAAAGAAATTATTGAAACCTTAATTTTACTGAAATTTTGCCCATGCTAAAAAACATCTGAACATAACAATAACTTGAAAGAAAATTAATTTCATTCGAAACGGCGTCTCATCTTAACATTTTCATTTTTCATTGTAACATTTTTCGCATCCAGACAGTCCATAAGTGGTACCAAATAAGTGCTCAAAATCTCATTTTTCGTAGTATTATTTTAATCATTTATTATTAATGCGCTGTCTTGAGCATCTTATGTTAACTCTTAACCATCAAAAAAAATTCATCAACAAACGGCGTCTCGTTTTAACAGGTAATTAGCAAATTTACGTTTTTTTAAATTTCTGTATCTCTCTCTCAATCTCTTGAGCTGGGTCAAAATTTCCGGAACCAATTTCGCCCTTATTCTTGAGTGTGCTCTGAAAATTTTTCATATTGTCTTCGGAAATTTTGAATCAACTCAAGAGATATAGAGCTTCGGAAATTTTAAAAGGGTAGGTTTACAAATTGCGACATATTTTACACGTAATGTTAAATTTACTTATGAACGCACACCCCGTAGAAGAACCTTATTTCCATTTATAGTCACATATCCATCCTTAAAAAATGTTCTTATTGAGCAACAAGTGCATTTGCACAAGAGAGAAAGATTTGTTAAGACGACGACGAGTCTTCCTTTCAGCCCACAATTTGTATGTAAAATGTGCTACTCGACATGGTTGGGGTGTCATGTAATGTAATGATATGCACGCATTTTGGTTTTGGATTGTCATTCATCATCCACATTTGGGATTTGTCAAAGATTAAGTCCCTCCCTTTCACTTTGGATTGAAGGAAGGCTATAAAATCTGCTGGTTGGCTTGGCGTAACCTTCGCATATTTTTTTATTAAGAACACTACTGGTTGGACATTCCTGACTAGTTTTGACCTAAATTCTTGGAGAAAAATATGTAGAAATTTTGTGACAGAAATGTTGCTCAAATTTTGCATCCTCGTGTATCAATTGCAATCAGGATTAAGTGCATTTGGGAAAATATATTTAGGCAATTATGACGCAAATTATTGATTTGTACATGTTTTTTTTTCTCATGCAACGAGGTAAAGGAAAATCGATAAATATCGTCTCATTTTGTACTTCATACCGAAAATCTAGATTAGAAAATATTGCAAACAATAATCTCAGGATGTTTGTAATGCAGGTAAACTGTGTAAACCTCATGGAATTATTGTACCCAAATTAAGAGGACACTAGATTTGTGAGATGCGTATTTAGATTTCCCTACGTAATCTTTACAAACTATTGAAATTTATAAACTTAGTTTGCAGAGTTGACCGAAATGCGAAATAAATACTAGATTGTCAAACTTTTGAAAATTTGGACGCCGATAAGTTAAAATTTTTCAAGTTCATAAGTGAAATTATTATTAGCAGGTCAGAACATTCATTCGTCAGAGTATGTGCAATAACCAAGAAAGTTTTACTGAAATTTTAAATGTTTAAATTTTGTTTGTTAAAATTTTTTTTACATAGTTTCCTACCCCGCCCGACTTTACACCAGTTTACATAATTTACTAAAATTGCATACCCCAATAAATTATTCCTACATATTTATGAATCACCAGGGATTCCCATTCCACCATTGACCATTGTGTGACAAGAAAAGAGTCCGATTTCCAAATTGACATTTGTATGGGGTCAAAAATACTTGAAAATTCCAACGGATTATGTATAGTCCATTTGTATTATCGCGACTCGACACTAATTCCATTTAAACCCAGGCAAGCTGCTGCACATCCAACCAAATCAACACAAATATTTCACCACAATCGCAAATTTGCTTATTTGGCGAGATTGGCACCAAAGAGGAGTGCATCGTGCAAAATTTAGGATAGAGTTGTCAATCTGATGTCAAATGTCAAGTTATCTCAACGTTATGTTAACACAACGAATGCTTAATATTTGTCCATCGTGTCGACCTGACGGGTCGGGACGGGACTGGACTGGACATATTAATAGATAAGAAGAACATGCAGAAAATAACAGAGACAATAAAAATGAGGACTAATCTTCCACCCTAATCCTCCTGATCCTGCCACACTATTGTTTTGTTTATTCGGTGAATCCAGAGGGGAAAAAGTGGTTAAAAAAATTGCATGCAAATCTATGTACCTGAACTGGACATTTTTACAATCATGAACTAATCTGCTGTTTGATTTGGGAAGGTGTGGATCTGTTTAACCTAGAAGTGGGACAGGTTTCAGCTTGTTAGCATTGTCTGCGAGGAAATAATGACGTGATATGAAAATTATGTAGGATTTTGATACAAATTTTGAAATTTTGGTGTAAAATTTGACGAAAAAAACTGGGCCAGCATTTTGAAGTTTTTAGATGCGAAAATTTACAACGAGAAATATCTTTAGGTGAAAATTACACGGAGAAATTTTGATATAAAACTTTAACGGTGTGAAAATAGTGCAGAATTTCGACAAAACCTGGGACACAATTTTGAAGTTTTAATGTGAAATTTCCAACCCAAAAAATCACGAGATGAAAATCATGTCGAATTTTTACAAAAATTTTTATGCAAACTATGACGGTATGAAAATAGTGCAGAATTTCGGCAAAAACTGGGCCAAAATTTTGGAGTTTTGTTTTGATACGAAGCAACCCAAAAATTATGACAATGAGACGAAAATCATGCCGAATTTGTATCGAAATTTTGATGCAAACTTAAAAATAGTGCATAATGTTGCCAAAAATTTGTTACCAACCTGGCGCCGGTGGATGGACCGAAGGCTTAGGAACATTTCTCTTGACATGCATCCATTTGTAGGTGGGGACATTGCTGTTATTTCCCCCGTTTCCTTGACCCTGCTGACCTCCTCCTGGTCCTCCTGGTCCGGTGACTCCACTAATGTTGAGGTTGACATTGAGAAGGGAGCCGTTGGGGAGGAACTGTTGGTGGTGGGGGTGAGATCCACCGTTCGTCGCGGGGGACGGGGACGACGTCGTGGGGGGGAAGTAAGACGTGGCGGGCGAAGAGTTGTTCTGTCCTCGGTGCGAGGACGTTTGAAAGGACGCGATGAGACAGGAGGACGCCGCCACAGAGGTCATGTCGGGAGGTGGAGGGCACGTGTAGTCTGGCGATGCGGGGTGGTGGTGGTGATGGTAGGTGGACCCTGTGTATGTAAAAATGCAGAAAAATCGGGTTTAGTGACGAAATTTCGAAAAAATGCGTCTGCAAAGTAGGTATTAAAGCAATTCACGCAGAGCTTGGTAACATTGTAAAATCCGTAAACTCTCACAAAATTTTGCAACTATTTCTGAGCAAAATTAGCTGACAAATTTGTGTAAACTTGCTTAAATCAAGGGTATCACTTTATTTTGTAAAAGTTTGTAAATTTGTTCTACAAAACGCACTGATTTTACAAAGTTACAAATTACGAAGTCAAATTTCGATCTGTTGAAATTTGGCTTCTATTTTTTATTTTATGTATGTATCTACATTCGGCACAACAAGGTGACAAAAAGTGGCTACTTGAATTGTCTCATTATTTACTGGAAAAATTGTGTATAAAATATTTTTTTATATTTCTGAACAGAAAAATCCTAAATTGAATTTAAATAGATAAACTCTATCTTAAAATAAAATTTTGAGACATTTAAAATTTCACGAATTTTCTCCCCAATTTCATACCCACACAAATATCGAACCTTACCCGTCGTCGGAGCGGCTCCTCCCACCCCAGGGTTATAACTATACCCTCCCAGTCCGTTATCTTGACTAGACATTTGGTCATACTGGTTGTGGTGGTGATGATTGTACACGAGGGGGGGAGGAGGGGGACAGTAAGGCTCAGCCCGCTCAGCCTTAATTTGTAGGTGCTGTTGTTGCTGGTGCTGTTGGTGCTGGTGATGCTGCTGTTGTTGCTCTAGGAGAAAGTCGGTTTCCGGTTGTTGTTGCTGTTGTGACGGGGGGATGACGGGCGCCGTGGTCGCGGAAATCGAGGAGGACGTCGACGACACATAATTTGCGACCGGGGTCGGATAGTAAAACGCACAATCGGGATACACCGAAGCGTCGTAGACGGATTGTTGGGCGTGGTGGTGATAAGCGGCGTGATGATGGTGATCCACCGATGTGACCCCACCACCACCACCGGTCGAACCACCCCCGGCAGAGACGTTCGTGGCACACACGCCGTACATCATGTTGCTCATTAATTAAAAGATGAGGATAAGTCAAGATAAGAGACGTCTCATTTTTCGAGGGGGAAATTGAGACGAAGTACAGAACGGGACACGGAAAGTAGTTTCGTCGTTAGAGTAAAATCCGTCTCACTTTCTTCATGTTAAGAATTCGATTCTTGATGTTTCGAAAATTTTTGATTTTTTTCCTCAAAAATATTTAAATATCACTTAATTTTATGGGGTAAACTTGTCAATTTTTTAAACGCACGTTTTAATTCACTCGTTATGATGGCACAAAATCCGGAAATTTTCGTGTTCACAAGCTGGTTCACAAGTGTTTAAATAGATAATTATTATTTAAATATTATTCACTTTTAACTAATTTATGTATCCGATGACCGATCGTTTTTTTTGCTGGGTTGGTTTTCTCGTGAAATCTGATGTCCGACTAGTGACTTGACTTTGTTGGAGAAAGCAGCAGCAGAACTTTTAGCGAGCGAGGTGAAACTCCTCCTCGCCAACGCAAGTGGTACAATTCTGCTTTCGTGCTGTTTGCGACGAGGGAGGAGGGTCGATTCTCACAATTGACGACCCATCCCCTTCACGAGACCCTCCTCTCGAGAAGAGAAGAAAATGTTGTTACGTCTTATGTACGTGGATGTATTCCTGCAAAGAGAACAAAAGAAAAGTGAGATTGGGATCCATGTATGTACATTTTAGATGGGAATGGTTGTGTGGTGTGGTGTGTGGTAATAATAAATGGAACGGATTATGCAGGTTATGGAAGGATTATTGTATGATACACTGTAAATAATGTGGGAACACAATTCGGTTGATTGTGACGAGGATTGGTGAGAATTCGGGAAAATTAGGGTACACATCTACATATTTTTAAGTCATGTGGATCACTCTGATAAATATGTACGCAAGAAATTGATTCAAAAATTTGTATGAAATTGAAACTTTTCAGCCTGGCAAAAATTTAAATTTCATAAAAACTGTCAATTTCATGAAAACTAATTTCTTATAGCAGAGTTATCTGTGTAAGTTTGGGATAGATTTGTAAACCTGATTCTGTTTATAAATTTGTGGAAATATCTGCAATTTTGTGATTTTTACAGACTGAAGGATGTAAATTGTATTTCGTAACCTGAACCAAATTGTGACGAAATTGTGGCAAAATATGTAGTGAGCTTCATCGACTTGGTAGCGATAATATATAATAGTTTAAGAAATATGTATGCATATTTGTCACCCTGTGGTGAGAAGTTGATCCCATTTTGTGGTAAAATTTACAAGAAATGGGTAGTCTCACACTATGGTCCCAGAGGAGACCAATTCTTTTCTAAGAGTGTTTGATACCTAAGAAATGTAAAATTCTGCATTCTTTTCGTGTAAAGTGAGACCTTTCCGGTTGAATAGGACGACTTACGATTAGCAATGTTTTTCCTTGCACCTGTCACATTCTACATACATACGTCTCGTCCTGCTGTTAATGACTTGTACATGCATGCATATTTGTTTTTCTCTTAATGTGGTCGGGACAGGTTAAAAATTACGATTTCATCAACTCCACCACCAAGAAATCAATCGTAGAGAAGCATGCAATCTGTACAAACTAAACTCTAATATGCAAAATTGCAAGGTTTTCAAAAAAGTTACAAGTTCGACTTCACACAAATTTTCAACTTTATTCAATTCTCAATGTCACAAAATTTCCAAAATTTTGAAGGACGTGACCCGATTTTCGAGGAATTTTGACCTCTGACCCCATAATCATGTCCAACATGAAAAAGATGAGATGACTTTACCCCTTAAAAAATGTTTCACACGCTTTATGCCCGGTCCTTGATCCGATTCCCACGTCTTAACAGCCCGAAAAATTACTTACAGCTTACTTTACTCATGCTCTTTCTACTCAATAAACTTAAAAGCAGTGCTAAATAAACTTGCTTTACTTTGAGAGAAATGAACGAGATAAGACTTTACTGCAGAATTGTTTAGTGCTCGGACTTGGTCAGTCAAATCATAAAAATTGTGCTAATCTCGAAGCTAATCTCCCCTTTCTTTCATTTCATTTCATTCACTTAATATGGTCTCAAACGTGTTTCATACATACATACGTATATTCGTAGATACCCTCATTCCTCGCATTGTATAACCAAAACAATGCCATTTATTTGTGCTACACGTACGTATGTACATATTTCGTCCGTGTTATGCATTTCGGTCGGGGTGCTGAGAATTGCTTTCTGACTTATGTATACTTACCTGGAATGGAAATCCGCATTGATTTCTTCTCTGTCCGACAAATATTAGTTGGACGTGTTGTTCCGTTTACAGTTTATTATTTGGCGTGTAAAATCATGCAGCTTGGCTGACGAGGCATAATTTTAATGAGCTCCGTGTATATATAAAACTGTGATTCACCCCGACAAAACAAACACAAAATGAATAAGAAAATTTGCACTGGTAGAAATTTTCGCCAAATTCTGCACTGTGAACTTGTTTAGATTGCAAATTTTTTTATTTTTCGTACAAATTCTGCACTGTGAACTTGCACTGGTCGCATATGGAATTGAATTTAAAGCAGTATTTTGATCCAGCTTTTATATGTACGTATTTATACAGGGTTTGCAATCAGGAGGAGATAGATTTTGGTCTCTGTTATCCAGATTATCTATGTTATGTTAGCAGGGTATATGAAATGTTTGTTTTTCTTGTAATCTCCTCTCACCCACTCAGGATTACATACATGCAGATCTCGAGTAGGTAGTTATACACATTGTCCTGCCATGTTTTACATGTGATAGTACACAATTTTTCTGTGTTGAGAGGAGAGACATCCCGATTTTAGTTATTAATTTCGCTGGGCACTGTAAATAATGTGGGGATGAAATTTATTTTTTTTCTGGGGTAATTTCAAGGATTGGGATTTTTGTCTCATTTTGCCTCATCTGTTGATGATGTAAATTTTAGTAAGAGCTTGTAAAATGATCGTTTTTTATGGGATTGAAAAGTAATGAAGATGCAAGAGATTCGAGATTTTTTAATATAGAGAAAAAAATCAAAATTTGTAAAACGCAATTATGAAATATGTAGATTTAAAGAGTCGGTGTTAAAAATTTATAACATGAAATATTTATGTGGATGAAATTAGGTTTTTTCAAAACTTGCTAACTGAAGGAGATTTCACAAGATTGTTTAGTAATTTGTAAAAAAATTTGTGCGCAAAAATTTCAAAATTTTCAAAGCTTGTACCTTCATTTTCAGGGTGTTTAAGAAAATTGGACTAAATATTTGCAACAGATCGTTACCAACCTGGTGACGATTTTACCTCCCACATTATTTAGAGTACCTCCTCACTGCTGGTTTGCTTAGGTAATGAGTAGTGACGATATTGTTCATCACTTCATGATAACCAGACTTGGGTTATTTCACCAGTGATAACAATATAATGACACCATCATCATTATCTCTCATCTGACATTCTGATCCATCCGAGTTTGCAATAATCACACACCTACAACTAAACTAAACTAACGTGTAAAATTGTATGATATGATGTGATGTCAAACTACCAACCAGATAATAAGTGGGTAATCCGAACAAAATCCTTTCCTGATGAGATGCTTGATTTTGCACGCAAAATAAAAAACACACAATTTGCACTGATGCATGCATGTGATATTTTTATTTATTATCGAGGGAAAACCCATCCCATTCATCCGTCTATATCGAAATGCGATAGGGTTGACGAGTTTAATCCTTTAATTCCACACCGTTTCACTTTACAGGATGACAAATAATCAAGGTGGGTGCATGGTCAGCTCAAATAAACTAAAGTCAAGCTGTATTTGTGTAACAGAACAGAAGCTGAAGGTAGAAAATTTAGGATTAGTTGGGGGAGAGAGAAGAGAATGACGGGGGTACTTTGGAAAGGGCCGGGCAGTAAATGTGTGACTGATTTTTGACGAAATTTTTGTCATAATCAACGTCAAGATGAACTTGAAAGTTTCCATTCGGTTTTGGTAACTTTAACAATTTTACCAGTTACGTTACCAATTTTGGTAACAATTTTACCAGTTACGTTACCAATTTTGGTAACAATTTTACCAATTACGTTACCAATTTTGGTAATATTTTACCATTTACGTTACCAATTTTGGTAACAATTTTACCAATTACGTTACCAATTACGCTACCAATTGTGGTAACAATTTTACCAATTACGTTACCAATTTTGGTAATATTTTACCAATTAGTTTACTTGAATTTTGTCCACCTGAAAATGACACCCTTTATGCACAACGCCCCCCTTTTTCCCATTGTGTAATCTGATCTTAAAGAGTTGTTTAAAATGATCGGGTTGACTTTGACTTTGACCAGAGTATCTGGTGACAGATCTCCACGGGACTGTCCTCCTGATAACGATGATAATAATAATATACGTACACTCAACTTCATACCGTTAAGAATCTCGAATTGTTTTTAGGGTTAAAAAATCCATGCAGCATTTATGTAAAAATTCCAGCTTGGTTATTTGTTAACTCAGCTTTTCATACATTTTTCCTCCTCGTCTGGCTGGATGCATGCATGCACTTTCCATTTCATTTGTTTTATTTAAGAGACCTTGGCTGAAATGAAATTCGTGTGAGGTCTGAAATGTCAGGGAAAACTTGTGGTTTTTGAGATAAGTGTCACTCTCACTTTGTCAACTTTCCGTATGAAATGAAATGAAATGGAGCATCCCACTTGAGCACGAGCGATGTATGACAATAACACTTATTTAATAATGCCAAGTGTTTAAGTAGAGTGAAACTGAGACAGCAATTGTCAATGAATCGGATGAATTGAAATGAATGAAGGGTGAGTGAGCAAATTGAATGGATTTGGAGGATTCACCTCTTCTTAACTGTAAATAATGTGTCTACTTTGTTGTTGTGGGTAAACATTACGGGGTGGTTTTTGTGTTATAATCTGATTTTGAAGTGAGAGAGGACAATGAGGCTTGCGTATTGTGGGGACTTATTTATTGTAAATTGTTTAAATATGTAGTATATGTTTATTTAAGGAAGGAGATCTAAATTCTTGGGTAAAGTTAGTTATCGTAACGAAATGTATACATAATACTGACGTAATTTGTGCCAGGATGTTTGTAAATTTACAAGTTTTTGAAAAATTTGCGAAGTAAAATCAAATTATGAAATATATAATTTGAAATATATTGTGAATAGAGTATTATTTAGCGTGTTAACGGCTTTCTCACCTTTAATTGTTTTACGAATAATAAACTTACAGGTTTTAAATTGATCGGCGTCCAAATTTTGTAGTAAATAAAATATTTGCAATTCGATCTTACAGAACTTAAATTTTTGTAAAGATTACGAGGAAAAATCAAATTACGATTCTACAGCGTACGTACAACCTTTTGGAATTTTATTTCTTGCATACATAAAAATCTTATCAGCCATCATTCTTATCAGCCAATGAACTTTCAAATTTTTATCCGATCGGCATCTAAATTTTTCTAATCTAATATCTGTTTGCACATTCAGTCAACTTTGATAAAGCTTTGCAAATATTACGATAGAAGAAAAATCAGGCTAGAAATGCATCCTAAATTTATAATCTCTTCGCTTGGAGTCATAATCTTACACAGCTTTCGTACCTAAGAGAAGTATATATTGTATTGATCTTGAATTTTTGACATGTCTACCTTAAACTTAAAATTGCATGTACTTTAAAAATATCAAAAATAGTTATAAAATTTGGCTTACGGATCATGGCCTCCCCCCAATTGCCTCCCCCCAATTGCCTCCCAGTAATAACCTCCGACCAATAGCCTCCTGAGGAAATTGGCCTCCCTTACCAATGGCCTCCCCACCAATATCCTCCCAACCAATCTCCTCCCATGCCAATCGCCTCCCACCCAATATCCTCCCATGATAAATACACGCATTGTTTTTAATACTTAACTTATCCTAATCTTAATTGTGTCATCATCACTATATAGTCATCAACGAGAGAGCGTTACTCATCAATATGCAAAAGCACATATTTATTCGTCAATCATTTCGTCTGAGAATTCTTATTTAAATTACATATTTGCAGTTACCATCATCCAATATTCATTATTTACCTTACGCATGCAAACGAGTTTTAAAATCTCCAGTTTCTTTGTTCTCATCACTAATATGTAAAAGTATATATTTCTAGTCACTATCATCCAGCATTCATCACTACGCGTGCAAACGAGAGTAAACGTACAGTGTCGTTTGCATGCGTGCAGGTAAAAATAATGAATGTTGGATGATGGTAAATACTAATATATATATATGCACGTGTGCCTTACATATTAGTGATCAGAATAAAGTAAAGAAACTGGCCATTTCTACTCTTTTAAATTAATTTTTTTCTTTTCTTTTAATTTTTTTTTAGATTTTTAAACTCGTTTGCATGCGTAAGGTAAAATGATGAATACATATTGATGACTAAATAGTTATGATGACACAATTAAGATTTGGATAAGTTAAGGAGTAAATATTAATGGTGACCCTAAATTGGCCTAAATGACTGAATAAGTTACCCTAAAAGTTGAAACCTATGGTGGACTGAATGGCTTTCCCTAACTTGCCAATAACCATCCTTATTTTTCTTCAACTCTACCCTAATGTCCAATTTGTCCTAATATATTTTACTTAAATAAATTATACACTCTAAATAAAAATAAGTAAAATCTACTCAAAGTTGAGTAAAAATAGAGTATGGCACTACCAAAAGGCAAAAAATTGGCCAACGTTGTGCAAAATTTACCCACCCGTTTGATAAATTTTACGTACATAACTTTGGACAAATTTTGCGCAATGTTTAGATAAATTTTACCTTTTGGTTGTGTCATCCACTTTTTATTAAATGCGACCCTAAGTTAAGTATTAAAAACAATGTGTGTATTTATCATGGGAGGATATTGGGTGGGAGGCGATTGGCCTGGGAGGAGATTGGTTGGGAGGATATTGGTGGGGAGGCCATTGGTAAGGGAGGCCAATTTCCTCAGGAGGCTATTTGTCGGAGGTTATTACTGGGAGGCCATTGGGGGGAGGCTATTGGGGGGAGGGGATTTTCCGCAATTCATAAAATTTGTCCCCCAAAAAAATCCAGACACTTTCTCTTCCTCATCAATTACATTTCTACCAGATCTGGACGAGCTATAAGTAAGAAAACAATGCGTAGCGAATTAATTCCCTGGGGAAACACCCGAAATATTTCTCACTGTCCGTCCATACATAATTGTGTCATCCTTGACTGATAAGTATTGTATTGATTCTTCATGATGAGGTCAGAAGGTGTGAGTCTTAATGACATGGCACCACCACCACCACCACCACCAGTCCACCAGTACAATCAGTCATATGCATATTGTGTCGTCCGTCCGTGTGACAAGTGTCCCACCCCCGATTACATTCCTGCCTGCAGACTCTTGTTTTGTTATCTCTCAGGAAAAATATTCCATTTCATCATAAGTTACAGACTGGACTGGTCAAATTTAGGATAATCTCGATAATCTGGGATACGATT